AAAGAAAATACCAATGTTCAGCTCCATACTGAGTGTGAGGACTGTTCTGTGACACAGCCATTTCACTTGTATATAATGACCCACAAACAGGTTTAGGCAGAAAGATCACTGGGGCGCCTGGGTGGCTCAGTCAGTTGAGTGTTGGGCTTCAGCTCAGGTCATGATCTCGAGGTCTGTGAGTTCAAGCCCCACGTCGGACTCTGTGCTGACAGCTCCGAGCCTGGAGCATGCTCCGGATTCTGTGTCTCCCTCTCTCTCTGCCCCTCCTCTGCTCGTGCTCTGTCTCTCAAAAATAAACAAACATTAAAAAAACAAAAAAAAAAAAAAGGCAGGAAAACCACTGCTGTGGGGCCGTAGGCAGGAGTCAGAAGGCCGGAGGTCCCTTGTGTTTTTGGCAAGGATGGTACAACTTCGGCAAAAGTTACAATGACTGTTTAAATCTATGTCAAGTATAAAAGAGAGAGTAACATACCCCCACCCCTCGCCGTTCATTATGTGTAAGCATGGTTCAGCACAGTGTTTCGGCATCGTAATGGCTCCATAAATACTATCTGTGTTGTTGTTAGTGTATTCTGATAACTAAGGATGGTCAGGTCCGGCCTTCACAGCCCAGTGAGATATACTCAGAATCAGCTAAATGTCCCTGTATAAACAAGTGATGTTAAAATACTGGCCCCCACAGAAAGTTTACTTTGGCACGGCGCCGTGGGCCTAGCCCTGCGGGGTATTAGTAACAAAAATCCTAGGAAGCTTATTTTCTTTGCAAGAGGGCTATGTTGAGGATGCTGCTTGTGAATTGCAGCATGGGTCCCAAGGACCCCTGGAAGAAGTGTCTCTTTGGCTTGAGTCCCAGGAATGGCTGCGTTCCTCCTGGGAAACTGGCTTCTTTTTATCTTTTGGACTCGGCATCATGGAGCCGATGCTGTTTTCAAAGAATCGGGACTTTGTACCCCGTAGAACACTGTGGACGCTCACCTTACCCTGGCCTCCCCTTTTTTCCTTCTCCCTTTTTCAAAATCCCCAAGATGTCTTTCACGTGCTTTCTCTGCCTTATTTTTTTTTTGCTCAAGACGGACGCCCCTGGCTTTGGTGCGCAGCCCCACGACGTGTAAAGTGGCAGTTGAGTGCTCCCTGTCTTGGGGGGGGGGTGGTGCTGCTGCTCTCTCCGGAGCCCCAGGAAAGGATTTCTGGCCAGTAGCCCCATTTCCTGGGTGGTGCCTCTTCCTGCTGCCCTTCTTGTCCATGTCGATCAGGAATCCCAGGATGCTGCTTGTGGGTCGCAGCTGTGAAGCAGCCCAGCACCCAGGGACAAGCCCCCCCCCCCAAATCCTCCACGGGAAAGGGATCCAGGAGACACCTTTCTCAGCCCCAGATGGTGGGCTCCCTGCATGCTGGGGGCCCGGCAAGATGCATGGAGAGGTGGTATGGATCCATCCCAACCAGGGCAGTCCCACACAACAGCCAAAGCCTCTCCGGTTGGACAGGGGCCCTCCCATCATGGTCGATGGCTCACCCTATGGGGCCCCCACCCTCCACCCAGGGTGTGTGGCCCCGGGGGGACGCTGGGCACACAGGGACCAGGAACAGGGTTCTCACCTCTGACCGCTCCCCTCACCCACCCTGAGCAAGGGGCTGCTCTCACTTTCCAGGGAGGTCCTTTCTGTCCCTTTCGGTCCTGTGCCGAGGATCCGCTCGACCCTTTCGGGATGTTTTCAATCACTGATTCCAGAGAGGGGCTTAGCCTTAGCCGCAGGCCGCGGGCAAGCCAAGATCCTGTTTACGAAACTGCTCATTTTACATGTCCGGGGGTCACGGGCTGCCAGGCAAGTCAATCCCTCTCGTGTCGCCGGGCCGCCCCCAGCTGAGCAGGGGCTGGGGCTCAGGAAGTTGGGGCTCAGCCCAGTCCTCGCCCCGGGTTCCCCGAGCCACCCTGTGGAAGGAAGGTTGCCTCGTGCACTTTCAATGTCCCCTGCATTCGGTGGGGGAACCGACTGAGATCAGGAACGAGGGGACAGACTCTCCAGGTAGGGGGCGGCGTGGGCAGGTGGCACCCACGGGATCCTCTAGAATCCGGGGAGGGTCCTTCATGTCCAGATGATCTCCCAGCAGCCCTTGGCACCCTGGCAACGAGGAGGGGCTAGACTTTTGTATTTATTGTGATGACGGAACAGATCTCCCATGGTGTCCGTTCATGTCTGCGCCCATCACCACCGTCTCCAGGGCGTCGTCTCCATCCTCCCAAACGGAAACCCCGAGCCAGATTTTTGGAAAAGCCTCCCCCGCAGCAGGTTTTCATTGCAATCCCATATGGGTTGTTGAGGGGGGAGGAAGATACGTAGGGGTCTGAAGGGACTCCTCTGGTGGGGCAGAGGCAGGGACAGGAGGCCTCCAGCGGGGACTGTGGTGCGCCAGGGGGACAGCCGGGTCACCTGCAGGGGGTGGGGGATGCTGTGCAGAGAGAGCACTCCCGGGCAGGAACACCTGGGGCTTCAAAGGGAAAATTTTTTCCTGGGGTCTGACTGTGGAACAGCCAGTTCCTGGTCGGCAGGGGGCCGCAGGCTGGGGACGGAGGAGGGACAGGACGGCTTTGAGAAAGTCCTGGCTTCCCAAACCACAGAGCGGGGACAGAAGTATGTGAAGCATGTGGGACTCTCCTCAGAAGGCACCGGCCCTCGGTCTACCCGATCCCCTGGACGGACTTCAGACAAATTGCGCGCCTGCCCACAAGCGCTCTGGTGGGGATGGCACAGAGAGCAGATTTGCTGACAGATTAGGGCGCAGGGGGGCTGGGGTGAGGGCAGGTCACCCAGGAGCGCAAGCGGTCAATCACCAGTTAATGAGGTGCCGCTAGTCCTAGTTCTAGGGGAGCGGTTGGGGCCGGGGTTGGGGTGGGGGTGGGGGCAAGTTCAGGAGAAACCTCCAGAACACCTGGAAGCCTGGAAGGCTGCTAGGCCTGGCTCCCCAGAGGCTGCCTGCCGGAGAAGGAACAGGGGGGCCAAGCTCCTGACCCCGTGGGAGGGCTTCCTTCATCAGAAGTCCTCACGTAATCCCCAGGAGGGGGTGCTGTTGTCCCTACCGCACAGCAGGGGAAATTGAGGCACGGAGCAGTGACCTGTCCGAGGTCACACCGTAAGGGAATGCTAGAGAGAGCATCGGGGTGGGGTCCATCAGAACCAGAACCCGTCTGTCCCTGCTCCCCAACGTCCCGGGTGACCTTGAGCGCACTCGTCACTTCCTGCCAATGACCCATATTCATGCAGCACCTTCTCGTGGGTTACTGGCTTGGCTTCTACAACTGTATACAGTTGGAGCAACAGATAGATTTGCCCTCGTTTCGCAGAGCAGGAAACTGAGGCCCAAAGCTGTTTGGTTTGTGTTGTGGGCTGAAACGTATGCCCCCCAAATTTAATTTAAAAAATTTTGTTTAATGTTTATTTTTGAGAAAGAGAGAGAGAGAGAGCACAAGCAGGAGAGGGGCAGAGAATCTGAAGCAGGCTCCAGGCTCCAAGCTGTCAGCACAGAGCCCGACACGGGGCTCGAACTCACAGACCTTGAGATCGTGACCTGAGCCGAAGTCGGTCGCTCAACCTACTGAGCCGCCCAGGCGGCCCCTGTAGGCCCCCCAAATTTATATATTGAACTCTTAACCCTCAGGACCTCAGAATGTGACTGTATTTGGAGACAGGATCTTTAAAGGTGGAATTAAGTTAAAATGAGGTAGTTCAGGGGGACCCTTGATCCCAAACCGCTGGTATAGAAGAGATTAGGACACAGAGGCACACAGAGCAGAGACCACGTGAAGAAGTGGCCACGTGAAGAGACCACGGCCAGAAGACTGCCATGGGCAAGCCACGGAGAGAGGCCTCAGGAGAAACCAATTCTGCCCACACCTTGACCTTGGGCTTCTGGCCTTCGGAACTGCAAGGAAGTGAACTTCTGCTGTCTAAGCCCCCAGTCCTGGTATTTGTTACAGCAGCCCAGGGTGCCTCTGACACTGCTCCTTCACACCGTGAGTGGGGACACCAGGTCCTGCTTCCCCCGGCCTTGGGGTTACTGTACATAGTAAGGAACATCATAGATTCCCGTCCCAGACCCGAGTGGAGCACGGAGGGGCCAGCCGAGCAGGGACAGGGTCCTAGCCGGGGGCAGGGCCCACACAAGTGCAGAGCAGGGTGGCTGGCTTCACACGGAAAGTTCCACCTCCCTGAACAAACTGGCAGAGAAATGAAAAACAAAAGCATGACTTCATACCAGCCTCCTCCCACTCAGACAGGGTGACGGTGTATTTACATGTTGATTCGTTCCGGGCTTAGGGATCTGAACCCGTTTGCTGTGGTGGTGGTTTCTTCCACGTTCATGATCTGAGCCCTGTCGTGGAGGGAGGGTCTGGACGGAGGGGGTCTGCACCTGGCAGGCCTCAGTCCCACACGGCCAGGGGCTTCCCGGGCTCCACGCTCTGGGCTGGAGGTGAAAGGAGGAAGGTTGGGGCGTTTGGGGTGCAGGGCACGCCCTTTGTGGACCCCATCCACAAATGGCAGGACGGCAACCCTCTCCCCATCCTGGAGGGGTGGATGGCCGCCCAGGGCTGTAACTTCTCTGCTTAGAGGGGTCCCCCAGCAGACTCATGGGGGCCCTATGCCTTCACCACCCGGATCTTGGCAGGTGTTGTGCTGGGTGAACTGTGGGAGCCCCCCGATGACTCACCTTTTCCACTTCTCCCTCAGCGGGCAACGCGGGGTGTGGGGGCCGAACCCAGAAATGGGACAACGGCACCCTCACAGCCCCCTAGGACAGACTCTTCCTCACTCAGAACCCTCAGCAGAACCCACCCCGGAGGTTTTTGGTTTTCTTTCTGGGACCCTGCTTCCCTCCCTCCCAGCCTGTCCACGGCCCGATTCTAGTCGACTAGAAAGTACAGGGTTCAAGTACTTTCCCATAGAGGTCCCGAGGGAGTGGCCAGCCTGAAGGGGTCCTTCCCGTTTGGGACCCCCTCCCCCTACTCGGAAAAGCACAAGCCAAATGTGTGGAGAGGAGGGGGCGGGAGCCTGTGTGGCCAGTCAAGGGGCAAACTGTGGGGCGGGGGCAGGGGACCCCAGGATCACAGAGTGAGGGGGGTTTGTAAAGCTGGAGCACGAGCTTGAGCCAACGGTCAGAACTCTTGGGAGCAATTCAGGCTGCCGCAGCCCCTCATCCCTCTTCCCGCCAGGCGCCTCGGTCTGGGTGCAGCGGGGAGCAGACATCTTTAGTTTCCTCATCTCCACGAAACCCTGTCCGAGTGTCCAGGAGCCCAGCCCACAGCGGAGGACAGCAGCCGAGGCCTCTCCCTGTCGAGTATCTCTATGTCCATCTGAACAGCCGGGGTCCGTCCAGGCTGCTCCGTGGTTCAGGATTCTGGTGGGGAGCCCCGGGCAGGGGGCAGAAGTTACCTGGGCCACTGCTAGTGTCCCGCAGGCTCCCATCCTGTCTCACGGGGGAGGGGAGGCTGGACACTGAAGTGTGGGTGGGCAGGTGTCCGGAGCGAGGACCCTCTTATTCCCAGAAACCCCACCACCTTCAGGACAGGCTCCTCCCTCCCTTGCCCCTGGCTCAGACCCCCAACAGGGTAGACCCAGGGTCCCGGAGAGGGCGGAGGCCACAAACAAGGTCCACGGGTTCACCCAAGGGGGTGAAGGGAGCCAGGCCCCTGGGTCTGCCCAGCCCCAGCCCCGGGAGCAGGCTGGGCGCGGGAGCGATGGTCTTCAGCCCTGACGGCTCCTTCCAAGTCTCCTCCTCCACTGCCTCGGGGTCCGCGTATTCCCGAATCTTCTGAGCCCCCATTACATGATCAAGCGGGCAATGTGTCCCTAAGGCCCAGCCCATCTTTTCAGAGGGGCCTTTCCCGTAAACCCCAAGGCCAAGATCAGCCAGAGAGGCAGACTCATGAACCCTGGGTCAGGCGTTTGGCTGCAGAGCAGACCACGTGGCCTGGCCGCCCCGGGGCTGCTGAGTCAGGAGAGGCACAGCCGGGAGGGAGCGGCGGCCTCAGCCCCCCCTTGCTTCTCCCCGACCCTCCCCTAACAGGCGCTCTGCCCTATCCTGGCTCCACGGGGAGCTGGCTCTGGGACCGGAGGAGGCTGTCCTCCCCGCTCAGGGCGCACGCCTCTCCCGTGTCAAATGAAAGGGCTCGGCGCCAGGGCCTGTAGATCCCTTGTGGCCCCTTCCGCCGCCCTCAGCTCCCCGGCCTGAGCCCGGGGCCCAGGTGCCCTGCCAGCTGCCCCACGCACGGTCAGGGAGGGGCCGCGAAATCACTCAGGCCAGCTCGGCTCTCCTTTTCCATGATCTTTATTCCTCAGGGTCTGAGCCCAGGGTGGGGCCGGAAGGGGCTGCCGCTAGAAGAAGTTGACCACCCTGCGGACCGACTGGACGCGAGAGCTGTGGGCCTCCCAGTCCGAGTAGTTGCGGAAGTCACCCCGCTCCACCAGGTACATGCGGCCGTGGTAGTTGGGCTCCTCGTACAGGACCCACCTGCGGCCAGAGGGAGGCCAGGCGGCCGTGAGCCGCTGAGCAGCACGGGGTCTGACCGCCTCCCGCCTGCCCGCCACCCCTCACCCCTCCCGGCCAATGTGGGGGCCCGAGCTGAGGAGGAGAGGTGTGGGGCGGGGCCTGTGGGGCTGGCCTCTCCTCCTCCCTTCTGATGCTCCCTCACCCTTGGCTCTTCCACCGCGGGAAGCAAAGCGGGGCTACACGCCCCGATCCGGTCGCTGGGGTCCTTCCGGCCCAGGCCATGGGGTGCCCTGACTCTGTCTTTGCAGCGAACCCCACTGTGGCCCTCGCCCCCCTCAAAGCACTCGGCTGCTGAAGGAGCCTTCTCCTGGCTGAGACACAGACTCAGAGTTTCTGAGCCCAGCCCGCCCAGAGAAGGGAGTGACTGCCCAAGTCACACGCGCCCCCCCCCCCCCCCCCCCGCGGCCCGAGTCGCCTGCTGAGGGCAGCTTCCCCGGCCACCCCCTTCCTGCCCCATCCCGACTCCACATCTGGCTCCTGGCGCAGTCTGCACAAGGGTCAGGGGTCAGGAATGAAGAGAGAGGCCCAGTACGTGAGCCGCTGGGGAGCTCAGGGCAGACCTGGCTCACCCTGGCCTCCCCACACCCCTAGCCTTCCTGCCCCTCCCCCCCTCCTCCCCCTCCTCATGCCCGTGGGTGGCTCAGGCCCAAGGTTTCGGGGCGTATATGCAGGAGTCCCCAAAAGGAAGAAGAGGAAGGACAGGCTGGGCCTCTGCAGTAAACGGCTCCCGTATCCCAGGCTTCCTGCTGTGACTTTGGGGACCAGGCATGAAGAGGGAGGGAGGAGGGGGCGTGGCCCATCCACAGCAGGGACTGTGCTCTTTGGGGGGTGGCAGGAAGTAGGGAGAGCGACCTGGCACATTTCCCTCCAAACGCCCCCCAGAACCCGTGTCTGTGGGGACAGGTCGGTCCTGAGCTGACTCGGGAACCAGCGGAACACCGCGGCTGGTGTCTGGGAGGTGGTAGGGAGACCTGCCTGGAGGCTCCCCATCAGACCCCAGGAAAGGGCTTGACGGAGGTCACCACCCCCAGACCCGGTGGTCCAGGCCATCACCCTGGCCAAGGGCTTACTTTTTTTTTTTTTTTAAAGGTAGTCACAGGAGCAAAGGGTGAACCCCCGTAGGGAGGGGAGCAGAGCCCCGGGTGAGATGTGGGGCTGGCCATACACAGCCGCTGAGTAGGTGGGAGCTCCGGGAGACCCCGGGCCCCTGCACTCAAAACTCTTAGCTCCCACCCTCCCCCGCCCCCTTTTCCTAAAGAGGCCCCTGGAGTCTTCCCAGGGTGGGTGTTGGGGGACTGTGGCTGGGGTCTCAGGACACCTTCCACGCAAAGGTATGACTCTGGCCTCACGAGACATAATTTAGCCGGTCATTTTCCAGGCAAACTGTTGTTCTGGAATTCTACCCCCGGATTCCCAGAGGCCTTCAACTGAGGGCAAACCTTTCTGAAAGGCAGAGAAAGGCAGACAGCAGAAAAGGAACCCTGGATAGAGTCAGAGTGACAGAGAAATAGCAGGGAGGGAGCTGAGCCCCCTGGGACTCTGGGAAGGAGGAGAGAACCCCCCTGGGGGGGGGCCGGGGAGGCGAGGGGTCCAGCGCTCCCTCTGGCTCAGCCACAACCTCCATTCAGTCCCTCCCATGACCACTCTTGAACCTCTCGCGACGTGCCCTGATCCCCCACCTCGGGCACGCAGACAGCAACCGGACCCCTTGGCTGCTGTGACGGGAGCCACGTTCCCGGAACCCGCGTGGGGCTCTTCTGCAGAGGGGCCGGGACTGAGGTCAGGGGAGGCTCCCTGCTCCACACCGGGGACACTCTGACTTGACGCCTGGCTGCCGCCCCCGCTGTGCCGTTCACGAGCGAGCGAGCCGGGGGCCAGGTCACTTTCGGAGCCTCCGCTTGCTCCTCTATAAACGGAGAGGACGCTACCCACTGGCTCACAGGAGGAGCTGACTATACGGGGGGCTGGCAGAAGCCAGGCCAGCACGGGGGTCCTGACCACTCTCCAGGAGCAGGGCAGACACGCCCTGGGCAAAACCCCCGTGGCCACAACCTGTCCGCTGGAAGTGAGCCGCCATGACGTCCAGCTCCCCGGAGGGGCTGTGTGGCAGGGGTCTGCCCGCTCGGTAGGAGAGCTCCAGCTCAGGGGTCCCCTTGGCCGAGTAGGACCGGGGTGTGCAGGGTGAGCGGGCTTCCTCTGGTTCGAGGGTACCAAAGTACTGTCCCCGAGCTCAGTCTAATCTTAGAGAACCGTTAGTTCGCAAAGGGCCCTGCTACGTCTGCTCCCACTGGGGAGGCCTACCTCTGAGGCCCCATGTCTCCTCACCACGGCCTTCTGGAGCCACGGAGGAAGCCTCCCCGCTGCTTGACTGGGGTAGAGGAGGCAGCTGAGGGGGTGCCGGGCCTCCCCCGCTGCTGGGGTCGGGCCCACCCGGCGGCCTCCCCACACACTTGGCTGTGCGGGGCCCAGCCGGGCCGCGGTCGGCGGCCTTGCGGCCTCTACTCACGCGCCATCCCCATACACCTTGACGGCGTTGACACAGTTCTTGGCCCAGCCCCGGCTCTGCAGGAAGGGACAGTCGTCCTGAAACTCCAGGCACTGGCCGGTGAAGTTGCACCCCTCGAAGATCTCCATGCGGAAATTCTCCCCATGCTGCGGGCCCGCGGGAGCGGAGGAAGGAAAGAAGGCAAACGGCGCTGAGTCCCATTCCCCGCCAACACAGAACCCACGTGGCCAGAAACTCAGAATGGCCCCGGGGCTCGGGGCACCCGATGCTGGGGGGGGGGGGGGCCGGTGAGTGCTTGCCACCCCAACCTAAGTGGCCCACCCAGCACTCTGCTTGTCCTGGGACATGAGATCTGGTTGGCTGAGAGGGGTCGATCACTTTAAAAGGCCTCAGGGCCCCTGAACCAGTCCAATCTCCTCTCTCCTCAACTGAAGAATCCAAGGGTTGGAGCGGGCCAGACCGCCGGGGGACGCAGTGGCCGAGCTCTGACCAAGGCCTGGGCCGCTGGGTTCCCTTCTGGTGCCTGCACTGGGGGACGTAGGCCCCAGCCACACCAACGCATTCCTCTGCCCTTCATCCCCACCCCGGGGCCTCAGGCCACGGGCAAGCCTCTCAAGGATAATATTTTACAAACTGTAACAGAACCTTTTATCAAACCATGAAGCCAAAAATCTAAAACAAATAACAGCGATCTCATTTGCTGGAATCCCAGCTGGCTTACTGGGATGATACTATATAGCTCCCTATAAGATTCCTTGCATTTCCGAAGAGGAGGGCCATTTCCCAGCAGGCTCCGGGATAGTTTACATATAAACAGCATTATGCAAGGGCGTGTGGGTGGCTCAGTCGGTTAAGGTTAAGGGCCTGACACTGAGTTTCAGCTCAGGTCATGATCTCACGGTTTTGTGGGTTCAAGCCCCACATCAGGCTCTGCGTTGGCAGTGTGGAGACTGCTTGGGATTCTCTCTCGTTCCGGCTCTCTCTGCCCCTCCCCTGCTCACGCTCTGTCTCTAAATAAATAAGCTTAAATTTTTTTTCTTTTTAAACAGCAGTATGCAAGATCCAGGGCCAACCACATTAACTCCTTTTTCCAAATGTCTCTGGCCTAGTGGAAATACTAAGGGAGCATACTTCCAATCTGAGATGCCAAAGCCCCGGACTCGTGTGGAAGAGAGAGGGGGGGCCCCCATACAGGAGGCCCCTTCCCTGGGGTTCCTAAGATGTTCACTTAGGACCACCTGGCCCCCACATCCAGGGACAGGTCCTTCTACAGACACACGGCTGAGACTCTGAGGACCCTCTGGTTCAGGAATCTGCCATTTCCCACCTGACCATGTGGACCTCAGAGCCGGTCAGCTAGCACTTGTAACTTGTGTGAATCCTACGTCCTCGGATCCCCCTTCGGGGGGGGGGGGCGGTGGGCAGACATGAATGATCACCGTGGGTAGTGACGTCCCTCCTACGCTCTCCCTACACACACTGGGCCACGCTGTGAGATGACAGCCACTCGTGTGGCTCCCAGAGACCCGCCCCCAAATTCCCCGAGGACCAGCTGGTGACTTAGTCACCTCCTTCAGTCATTCCACAGCCAGAGCATCAAAGCCGCCTGAAAAGCACCACAAAATGACCCACAGGAGCGGACACACCAGGCCCGAATCAGCCCTGCTTAGGTTACATTCTCCCCCGTCCAGTTGCAAATCGAAATTCTAATATTTCCAACAGCATTCTAAGTGGAAAGTTCAGCAAGATTTTGGGATCAGAAATGGAA